TCCCATCTACATGCAGCCCACTTATGTCGGCAACCAACGGGTTGCTAAGATCGTGGCGGATGCTCTTGTTGCCGACACGTTGATGTCAGCCTCAAAAGTCGGCAAGGGCGTATCGTGGTTACAATTCCGGTACCTCAAAGATCTCGAGACCTCTACGACATATTCCTCTGTGTTCCCATAACCATACGGTCGCTACCCGTTATAGGCTCCCCTATCCCGTCTTAACATTATCATCAACATGACGCTCCTATCTCACGTACATTTGTCCCATGAGCGCAACTGTTTTTCCCTTCAAATTCCCCAAATGTTTTCCGAGAACCGCGCAAGGAGATTTTTCACTCTTTTCTCTTCTTTGATTTTCTCTTCTTTTTATAGCTCCTTTCATTGGCATCGCTTATGGGCTTAATTACTATAATTATGTAATTATACTACGCGTGGTAACTGATTAGTAATGTATATTCACTATTTTCAACTAACTGACGGCTGCTAACCTTTCGCCTGCAATCTTGTGAACGACTATTGTTTGAAGGTTTCTACTGCATCGATGCATTTGGCAGTCTCTATGTCACCTATAGGGGACTGAGAGGCGTTTGTCTCTCTTTCCCTTAACAAAAATAAACCTATGAAAAGAGAGAAGGGTTGACTCACCACAAGAAGAAACGCCGTCCCAGTTGTACTTATCGAACGGTATATCCGCTCCGAGAAGACAAAATAGCACAGGCTGCAAAAACCACCACAGGGCGGCCATGATAGACTGCATCTCCTTAAGACTGGCCACGCCAGGTTCACTGGCTGAACCGGCCCTGGATCTCGTAACATTGCTGTTGTTTTGTTGAGTCGTCGCGGCGGCTGTCGGCATGATACGAACCAAAAGCAAAAGAAAGCAAGCAGGCGTAAGCGGACGATAAAAAAGAGCACTTTAAGGTAAGTTAGAAACCTATGCAATACGGTCTGCGCCAGTTAGCAGTGCTAGTTTGAATCATAGATGTTTTTTGGGAAAAAATGTAAATGTAATCAGTAAATCGCAGGACTGTCTTTAAAGGTTATTTTACCCTTGGATTTATAACAATAACCCACTTTTACCATTTAAGTAATTTTAACTTTCGTTTTTTATTTCCGTCAATATAAGGCAGATTTACCATTATTTCGTAAAATTCTGCCAAAATAAGGTAAAATTTTCCTCATCAGACATCAATATCCTAGGCAACAGAAGTTTATGCTGGTGGATTTGATCATCCTTAGTACATTTTCACCGCAAGTGAATATTCATGCACACGCACTGACCAATAATTAAATATTTGACCACAATATACGTTAGGAAGTTGGACGGGGGTATATACAGCATGACAAGTCCTGCAAACAACCTTCATGACTAAACTTAACTTGGTAGTTTAGCAAATATCTGGACAGGTTATGTTGATCAACTGAATGGATTTGATAATGAGGAGGGCTTTGGTTAAGAAGACTGTCATTCAATTTAAAGTTATGAAGCGAAATAGGCACCTATTTTGCCTAAATCATGAGTAATGTTTTATCGAACAGATTTAATATGCTATAAGGTAAGAGGGAACCAAACTTTTTACTAATATGCATTGTGCTGTGGAAGAATTCCAGAATAAGTTCAAACAGTGGAAAAATAATCCCTTTCAGAACAGGAAAATTTTGTGCGAAGATTATCAAATGGAAGTGAACCCCACTTAAGCGAATCACATTTATTTTCACAAACAAGGAAAAATTTAAGTTTTAGGAATTATGTTTAATTATCCTGTGAAGTTATTTCGCTCAAAATGCAGAAATAAAAAAAGGTTCGTCAGAAATTCCGTTTTACTGCACAGTTGTCCTTGCGCATTAGCAAATTTTGCAATATATGTTACCGTGAAGTGCTGCAAAGGAAACCTTATTAAATGTATGTCAGGTAGGAATATGCCGTTTTGTAAACTACCCTTTCCATGTA